AAATTACAACCGCGAACTTCTCATGGTCCACGGGCGTCAGATCCTGGCGGAGGATCTGCGACACGTTTCACAGATTGCGTCCTTTTGAGGACTGAAGAAGCGTCTTCCCATCAAAGTCCAAAATCGCCTTCAGTGGTCGTGGAAAGATTGTCTTTTTGGGGTATGGATGACTCTTAGGACTCTTACTCTCAATTTTCCATATCGTACAGCTCGTACACCATCAAACGAAATCCGGCCGTGTCAGCATTACACCAGTCCTTGGTGGCGTGCCCTTTCTATTCAGATGGAGAGTTTGCTCAATGGGCTCAATTACCTTTGTCACCTGCTGTGATTGTGCGTTAGCTGGGTTATTTAGGAGGTCGATGGAATTTATTCTATCGCGTATGGTAGTTTGACCGAGAAGACCTAAATGAAGAAGACAAAGGACGCCGGATGAAGATCGGCCACATTACGGATGAATCAATGAAGGAAAGAGCGCTGAGGCTCAGTCAGCTACTGCAGAAAAAGTGAAATCTCAGTAAAATATAACAAAAGTTCGAATCGTTCGTTAGGATTTAACCGTCCCAACACAACCCTTTCAAAATGTGTGTAGGTTTTCAGGCATGGAGTCACCTGCAATAGCGTAAATGTTTCAGGTTTCGAACCACGGATTTTCCGGTCAGTAAATGTGTGTTCCAGCCACTGTCATCTCGGCCCCTGCCAGTGTGCATAACTTCACACCAAGGTTTCCGTGCGATTTATACCTGGGTGTCCAAAATGAAACTGTTTTATTATTTGTGCCTGCAGTTTGGCTGGTATTATAAGAGGTTCACCAGAGAAGGCATCCATCAGCTTCAGATAGAGGAAATCACAAATGGAATAAGGACTGAATGTCGCGTGTCACTGATGTTGACTGGCGTGTTCCGTGATAGTGTTATACCTGTTGGAGCACGGGATCGAATCTGGTTTTGTCACCGACCATTGTCGAAGTAGCCGGAGGGGTTCGAGTGGATGCAACGGTGCAAACTTCTGGTTTGCCAGAAATAGAAGCCACAAATGTACCTTGTGCCGGGTTTCCTTGTGAGTCCATCAGTCTTGAATAAGTGTTTGCTTGGCCAGTATTATCCGTACACTGGTGTTTGAAAAATCGTAGCCACGGACAATAGTTGCCCAGCGCTGGAAACGATTTGCCGTATATACGGGAACGCCTTCCTTCGAACCGAAATGCTGACGATTTTGTGATCAGCGAGGAGTGTCAAATGACGACCGTAAATCGTTTTTTGGAATTTATTGGCAGCAAATAAGATTGCGAGTAGCGAATATGTGCAAACTAATTTGGTTCTTTCGAGAGACTCACCTGGAACCCAGCTGAATCTCTCGTTTATGATGTTCTCAGGCAACTGAATGTGCTGCACCAGGCCGCCTCATGTTTCAGTCGCTACGATATTTGAAATATCGCGATACATGTATATTTGTAATGTGCTACTCATAAGGTTCAGCTGGGTTCCAGGTGAGTCTCTCGAAAGAACCAAATTAGTTTGCAGATGAGTGTATATTCGCTAATTTCGTGCAATTTCGTTTCCAGTAGAACATAAGGTTGACGGAAACCCGGGGACTGCGCCTACCTGATGAGCCCCAAGAAGGGCGAAACCGTTCGTGGGCTGTAGATGGATTTTCAGCAACCTTATGAGTAGTACATTACAAAGAGTGCGAGTACTTCTTTTTCTGTTTAGCCTTAATTGCTGGCTGGTGTCAAAGATAGGACTGCATTGGCGATGGCTTTTTCATTTCCGTCAGGAAATTTGTGGGGAATGACTGCTCCAATCCCATGTTTGGATGCTTCCGATGCTAGAGTGATATGCATGGATGGGGTGTAATGTGTAAGCATCAGGTTTAACGACAGAACTGAGTTAACTGTATAAAGCTAATCGATATTGAGGTGACCAATTTCAGGGAGCATCCTTTTTAAGAGATGATTGTGAGGACTGGATGAGAATTAAGTTCCGCACGTATATCAGTATAACCAGACGAACTAGAAATCCAGAATTCAGATCAGCGTAACAAGTAGCACGTATGTATTCGAATAGGCTTTCCGGAGGAGAGCAAGTGCGGATGAAAGTCATATCCCCAGGTACTTGATATTGTCTCTGTACTCCTCCTCAATTTTCTCATATGCATCTAGAAGCCTGTTGATGTCTTCTTCAAATAATCGCATGGTGAGCGCCTTGACCTCTGCCGACAGGACAGAATTCCGAGTGATGAGAATCTGGGTCACCCCTGAGTTTTGGCTTAGGTCATCATGGGCAAACAGGACCTTGGTCACTTCTGTTGACCGGGAATCGATGAGATGTACAATGCGTGCTATGAGAATGGGGAATTGTGTGATCAAGTTCTTATGTGCTGTGTATTTCTCGTAAGGGAGGGGGTATTAAACTACCTTTGTATATGTTTTGTTGAGAGACGCAAGCGTTGCACCCGTCCTGTTGGACAGGCCAGTGTCCAAAGACTCTGGGATGAATGTTTTCCCGACCGCAAGTACAGCAATCGTACACTTGATCCTCATCATTGTGATGATTGCCTCCCTCCCGGATGTCTCAGCAACCGATGTATCTCTGTGAAGAAGTAAAGTGTATGGGTATATTGTTTCAGCATCAATGAGTGCTTGGATCTCCTTCCCCTCCCCCGGAATACCTTCCTGGATGTCGGATCAGGATTTTTTATGAACAGAGTTGGGATCAGCAAACTCGGAGGAGATCGGGATTTGACAATCCAACCTATTGCAAGTGGTCTTGACTGGGCTAGAGTATGTGCCCCCCGTCCACTCGTGACGAATGATATCACATCTGCGGGGGCACTGGCTAGGGAGACAAATACCAACCCCTTTGCAATGGCGTTAACACAAGTCTTCGACCTACCTGCAATCATCAACTACACCTCAATTCCGATGATCGGTCAATCACCATCTGATCCATTCCAGGAAGGTATTCCGGGGGAGGGGAAGGAGATCCAAGCACTCATTGATGCTGAAACAACATACCCATACACTTTACTTCTTCACAGAGATACATCGGTTGCTGAGACATCCGGGAGGGAGGCAATCATCACAATGATGAGGATCAAGTGTACGATTGCTGTACTTGCGGTCGGGAAAACATTCATCCCAGAGTCTTTGGACACTGGCCTGTCCAACAGGACGGGTGCAACGCTTGCGTCTCTCAACAAAACATATACAAAGGTAGTTTAATACCCCCTCCCTTACGAGAAATACACAGCACATAAGAACTTGATCACACAATTCCCCATTCTCATAGCACGCATTGTACATCTCATCGATTCCCGCCATCACGGTCAACAGACTGCGAACGCGGTGCATATCTGGTAGGAAAGTACTGTAATGGCTCACTGACCGGAGGAAATATCGTAGTGATAACACACCCGAAAGAAGAAAGCGTTCAGCGTTCCGGTGCCTAGCTGCCATGCCACCCGAAGGAAGCACGAGGGCTGGGATACTGCCAGGTTGCCCAAGGCTAGACAGGGGAAGTCGAGTGGCGGAGGTCGGGTTCTAACCACTTGGGCCATCTCGCCCATAACACACCCGTCGGTGGTGGCACCCTCCAAATTGCATCACTGTTGTCCTGGTCAGGATGACGTCCAGATTTATCGAAAATAAAACCCAACTATTTGATAAACGTAAGAATGAATGCACATTTTCTTGCTCGGAGATGAAAGCCGTATTCTAGGATACGATGAAGTAGTGTGGTTAAGCGACTAAAGAGCTCTTCCTGATCAGGGGCCGCCACACATACCTAAGTACGTCACGAAGCCTGTCAATTGAGCATAGCATCCATAATCTGTTGGAATACGGCTGGCGCCATTTTCATTCTAAAGGGAAAACGATCGAACTGGACAAGACCACAGTGCGTGTCAATGGCTAGAAGATCCTTAGAGTTATTCGCAACTTTTATTTGTGAATAAGCATCAGCCAGGTGAAGTTTAGCAAAAGACGTGCTATCATTGTGTTTGATGAACTTCAGGAACTGCGAGGGGACACTGATGTGAACCAAATACAGTATTCAAGTTTAGAATAATCATCACAAACCCTTATATTCCCATTCATCTTCTAAACCACGACAACTGGAGCTGCCCAGGAAGAGTAGTTGAGTGGCTAGATAACAATCGACTTCAGCGTCCGCAGATGCAAGAGGCGCATACTGTACAGGCATTTCAGTGTTTTTTATTTCTTATTTAGCTTCAAATGAGATGTGGCTTGGGCTTTGGATCAATGTCCAATACCATCTTGAGAGACATTTAAAAAATCCGTTTGAGTCGTGTGTGTAAGTTGTCGGGAAATGCTTGTTGATGGGGTGCACGCTGAGGATAAGATATAACATCAAGAAATACTTCCATTCAGTTGCAACTGCGAGTCTTGAAATGAGGTGAGAGAATGGAGGATGATCATCAATGTGATCTTATTCGACTGAGAGATTTTTCAACCGCCTCGACTGTCCTATACCTACTTACGGAAGTCTTGTGGTTGATGGGAAACTCCTTGAATGAAGGAGAGGACATGGTCATTCAAGTTAATCCTCTACTTCTAGCTACCAGCTTTTAGCAGAATCTTCTTTCTCACCATTCTCTATCGCACTCGAGATGCCTCAGTAGTTGGAACGCGAAAGTCCGTGGTTCGAACCCGACCTCTGCCTTTCGACTTCCCCTGTCTAGTCTTGGGCAACCTGACAGTATCCCATCCCTCGTGCTTCCTTCGGGTGGCGTGGCAGCTAGACACCGAGGGGGTGTTACAGCTGAACGATTTTTTTTGGCTTTTTCAGTTGGGTCATATGGCAACCAGTGATCCGCAATGACCCTCCACCCACGAATGGCGTGTTTTTCATCTTGGTCCCGCCATCGTGGCCAGTTCACGGATCACGCAAACCGGCTAGAGGTCAGTCATGCCATCGCGTCCGGCTGGCTTTATACCATATCGAATGGAGCCAGCTCAGAGACTGTTGGGGACGATATCAGAAAATGTTCATGTTTACTTCAAGTAAGCTGGTGAAGAATAAACTAAACTTTGCCCATAACTTTGGGGCCATCTACCCTAGCTGTCCGGCGCGGCGGAATGGGCACCGGATGCAGTTAAAATCAACAGCTCTTATTGATGACAGAAAGGCTGATCTAGCAACAACTGGCTATGATAGGACATGCAAGTTACTCAAATGCTAGAGCCATAAGACTTATGCCCATGGATTGCAAGAGAAGATGAGGTGATGCGGACTTTCACACCGCTTGTTTTGGTTCGACTGAGCGCACTGAATAATCTGACATGAGCGGAGCCATCTGAAGAAATAGATGAGGAAACTGCCTTCTTTTGCGATAAAGTGAACACGTCTACGCCTTGCAGTCTAAACTTCGCCAAGCTCTGAAAGCCACCCAGTCAAACCCGATCTTTATGGCATCAGGGAAATTTAATAATGAAATGTAGTTTCTCTACTATGGGGCCAGTCCTCAAAAAAGTTTTCGGAAACCACCGTAGCATCAGACTGTTAGTCTTAGTTTCTTACAATCTGTTATTATATGGGTTCGGTTCTCTGTAAGGATGTCCTGACCACCTTCAGTTTATGCTTCGACACCAGCGTAAATGCAGGTGAAAAATAGTTGTAGTTTTTCCAGACCTGAAGACTGCGTTTTACTCCGTCGATAGCGAGATGCCACTGCAGTACTTCCAGAGGTAATCAAATAAATGTCTTACTATCCTAAAAACAATATGCAACAATCCCAGTGGACGCGTACGGGCCGACGAAATGTTCACCGCATTCAATGGTGTCACACTTGATATATGTCAACTAAGTCAACTAACTTCAACTCCTTCAGGCAAATAATTTGAAATCCAGACAGCTGAAAAACGCAGCGAATCCGTGCTCAACGTTGTTGACCTCCAGAACTCGGGTCGTTGTCGAAATTTGAAATCCAGACAGCTGAAAAACGCAGCGAATCCGTGCTCAACGTTGTTGACCTCCAGAACTCGTGGTCGTTGTCGAAGCTTCAAACAGAGATCTGGTTTTGTACGGATGTTGATCTAATGTAACCAGAAATACCGAGATAGAGCTAAGTTATCGCAGTTCATTGCCGGAGGATTGATGCTGGCGATTCTTGAGAGGGTCTGGCACGTCATTCGCTAAACCACTTGGTTCAGTGTTTAATATTCTCATCTATTCCAGCAAGCGACTTCTGCATTCCTACCTTCGAGGAAAAGCAACATGACCCCCTCGGGTACCGTCACGGGTGGAAGCAGTTCACCTGATTCCGCAGAATTCGGCCGCGCGGGTACACCTGAGCTAGGCGACGAATTGAGTGAACTAGCCCCTATATTGGACTCAGTGCACATGGCTCCGCATAAGGTAAGGAAATTCGGTATACCTCGTGCGCATGTCTCATTTTATCTGAATACCTTCCTCCTTTCATTGGATGTCTGCTACCCTATTACTAACCGTTTCTCATGATGTGCCTTATACCGCTTTCGAGAACTCGTGGTGATGGTATACAGTCTGGTTAAAAAAACTTTATTCCCGATGCTGGTGCTGCATTCACCATCGTCGTTCGAAATAGAAAAACTTTCCGAAATCGTTTATTGTCTCTGATGATAGTGACTTCATTCTTCAGTGGTTGTGCGTCATTCACAGTAGCCGCTGCTGTCAGCTCATGTTAGAGATGCTGATGTGTTGAGTCGTTGGTTCTGATCCTCGTGTTTCAATTTCACGCGGTGCTCAGCCTCGGTTCCAGATACCCCCTCTACACAAATATACACCTACTGGACATTCGTTATACCATCATCTTCTGTAAGACTTTCTACATATTTCTTCGCCTTCCGGGCTTACGGCAAAGTTTCCCTTTGCATTCTACTCATCGTTCCACTGTTCGTCACCCGAACAATCTTTCGTCGTACAGAACGGTATACTTTTCTCCTTGCATTGTATGCCTCTTATCCACACAAGTTACCTGTTCTCTCAATACTTCATATCACACGCAGACTTTCCCACTTAATGCAAAGACATGTGGTCCTATCACGAAAAGCCTATCCAAAAAGGCCCCTTCGCCCATCGGGTGGATATAGAGAAGTTCGTCATGAGGATCAATAGTTACCACGATAAGTCAACCCGACTGTTCATTATTAGTCAGTTCCTGTGCATAAGGCAACATCTGGTTTGAGAAAAATTCATCCCTAACCCCCGCAATGGATTTGGTCAGAGATTTTGAGTCGGCGCTCGTGACTGTCATCCAGTGAGCGCGTGAACAAACTGGGAGGTTGAAAAAGAGGAACTCTATCTTACCCACATCGGCGGTCACCATTACTTACATTACTAGATTGAACGTGACTGTGGGTAACAGCAAAATAACCTGAGCCAACAATTGAGTGTACGAAATGGCGCACGATATATTGTCATCCCTTCACTGTTATTACAGTGGTCTTTAAAACAGACCATAAAATCCCACAATTAACTCCAACTATAGATAAAACAGGACAGGAATGTAAAATGCCTCGTGGACAAACATCCGTAGTAGGTCGGATGCAGTAGACAGAAACACTACACAATTCGACACAGCTGTATTTGGATGAGGTTGGTGCATTTATCGTTCGTCGATGTGAAACTCTGTAAGGTTTGAGGTACGGTGGGGCAATTTCAAACAGTACTCTAGTTTGATAGTATTTTTAGGATGGCACGCGAATTCGGTTGCCATGTTTCTGTATATAGCACAGCAGCGAAATCAACGAGATTCTGACCGGTGAGCTACCGAAAACTACCACGATCTCAGTGGTACAAGAATCCCCGTTTTTAGTCTTTCAGTCTTCTTAGTCTTTAAAAACCCATGGGACAACAATCTGTTGTAGGTCTTTAGCTCCATTAGTTTTTTTCACGTTGTCTATACACGATACACGATCCCTTCTGTTGGCACTTGTTCCTGATCAAACTTCGAAGGAAGTATTTTGCTTGCTGAATTAAGATCCTGTGCTAAGCTTATGAGGCTTATGTTTTTTTTCTGGGTTCACAATCACCTAAGGAGCAAACGGATCTGTATTGGCACCGAATGCCTGAATACAAAGAAAACAATTTGATTCCGTTTTCTATTGGAATGGGTAACTTTACCTCCCGTGAGACCATGAGGAGCTGGTAGTTAGAAAGGTGGATGGGTGATTTTATTTGATGGAGAACCCGTCGGGAGGTAACCATATAAGGAATGTTGGCCAACCCTTGCTGAATCACTGTCATGAATAGCGTTGGATTTGATATTGCCTTGTAATACTGCTGTTCTCAGATAGCAGTAATACCGGTATTGAAGCAGGTCAGCACAGCAAAGCTAGTTGCCCACTAGATAGCCACCTGATCTTCCATTGTTGGTGTTATTTATCTCCGGCACAATCTTTTTGAACAACTGCTGCAGGAATTGCTTATACTTCCTTGTACGTAGAACCCATTGTTTCAAACCACTGTTAGTACAACGGATATCTCAGGCTGAACAAGTACGTGAACAAAAATGTAAGATCGCATTTTGCCGATTTTTTATACTTCTTCCACTGATTCCTTCACCCCAAAATGTCGGATACTTTTTAACAGAAAGCCACTGTGCTGTATCATCGTAGCAACTGGCTCAAAAAGCTATCTTTAGCAATGAGAGTGTGGGATGCAAAAAATCTGTCTGTACGGTCCAGAAGAAAGGTTTGCCCAGTATGAAACAGCCAGCCACCTTCTAGTGGGTAGCTTCGTGCCTCATTAGCCCATGAATACCCTATGTTGATGATTATGTATTTCGTCTTGTAAGACAAAATCAGCACATACTGGAAGCCTATAAGTGATGCAGCTTTTTTATCCTCTTTAGAAGCCGCCAACAGTGTTCATCTCACAAATCTTGAGGAGATTTAGGCCAGCATTTTCCGGTCAGGAGCCAATCCATGTACTTTTTGCTTCGTGAGCCGATAAGCAGTTCGGTTAAGTTGCAACTAGACGGGATATATCACTGCTCATCCTTGAATAGCTTAGATGCATGTCATATGGCCACATGCTTTCAGTTTCATGACGGATTATGCCGTCAGTTTTGTCAAGGAAAAATTGTGAAGCGATGGATTGTTTCGTCGCTAATTTTTCTATCGGTTCCTTATGAACTGCGTCCGTGTGTTTTGAGTAATTCCTAATAGGTTTCCCGCGAGCTTTGATCGCAGTTAGTTAATTTAATACTTCCCCTAAGGTGTCACAGATGTCCAATGTTAACCATCAGACGGATCAAATAACCCCAAAATTTTCCCTTTTAATGGACCTAGAGTCCATTGGTTCAGTCTTCATGACACTATCCGGAGGCAGGAAGACCCTGCTGATAAATCTTTTAGGAAGAAGAACCACCTTAGTAAATTGTTTCAAGGGTAAGTATTTTCCTAACTTTCAAATATGCCTCTGAACGAATCGAATTTGGGTCGGGTTTTCACGTTTTTGGCAGTACAGAGGATTTCAGCCTATCTCTTCCAGTGTACAACTTGTGTAGCTAGAAGACGAATCTGTTCATCGACTAGTGAAAGCAAATAGCATATCTTGTTTATGTGCAACCTAAACTGCACTCCCGCACATCCTTCTCATTAACTTTCCAGTGAATTCTTACCAGAGCTTTCTATTCCTACAGTAATATCTCATGGGAACTCGGTTTGGCCCATTCTGTCGAAAGCAGTGAAGGGCATGTTCTGATTTGCAAAGGATCATCGACGTTGCTCATCCAACCAAATCATGTAATGTAGAGTCGCGGTGTGATCACTGTCAGTTGTTCTAGGTACTTTTCCATCTCAAACAATCGACCGGCCGCTAAAGCGCACTTGTATAATCACATTTTAAAAACTTACGTTTCCTATTTTTGTCGATTCGCTGTGCTTTCAAAGACTAGATGACTTACCTGACTAAATTTACTGATTACCTTTCAAACCACCATTTAACTTATTTCTAGCTCTCCGATGGTAGATATGTAAACGACCTTGGGAGAGCGGAAGATGTCAGCAAAAAAACTGCCCGGAAGGTGTACACTGTCGTTCTACACCAATTCACAGAAGCCTGTAGTCAATGCTGAATTCCATGTCGAACTTGGACCATGATTTGTCTATATAAATTCGTAATTCATGTCGCCTGAATTCTTCTCTGTTGTTATCTTATGGCAGACTGCAAGATACGTTCGTCTTTGCTGTCAGTGATTTGGAAGGAAGCTCCTTTATTCCCACTCCGTTTTACTCAAGGATGCTGCAATAGCCATCAATGGTTCGAATTTGGTGAATCCTTTCGACCCTATTCCATCATTCTTTGGGGTTCGTATCCGTTCATCTTACCCGCCTTAGGTGACCGATCTTGTTACATCCGTCGAATCAGCACCAGTCAGAGAAAAGAATGTAGTGCATTATCTTTTCCACGACCGATAGCATCCTACCTCATTCATTCTACTTGTAAATTTTTTACACCTCTTGGAGAGCACGACTGTGTTCAGCAGTTTTGTCTTCAAATTACATTCCGCAACGCTTTTTCTATCACTGAAGTGGACTGCCCATTGCTCAGCCTTTTACAAGTAAATCTCATACCACAAACTAGATGTGCTTCTGCAGTGCTTTTTTATAATCATCCCACTTCTCTTGAAGTTAGCTGCATTGCTCCGTAATGTGACACTACTTACGAGGCTGGTAGGAATTATTCGGGAGTCTACTAACAGTTTTGCCCTTCTGGGGTAGATCACGCTCAAGCATTCAATTGAGACATGAGGCAGTGTGCTAACACCATATTTAGATGTCCGAAAAACCCACTCAGTGTTTTGTCTTCCCGTTTTTGCATTTGGCGCAAGTATTAAGTCTGTCATGTGTTGACACAGGTCTGCATCAAACGAACATGCTTTGCGCTCGAATACAATTTTTTCCGCAGCCGAATCTAGGGTTTCGTTTCTCGTTCGTACCCGATGTATTTGTTTTTGTCCGTTTGAAGCAATCCAGGCACCAGCTGGCTCACGACTGAGAAGGGACCAACAAAAAAATACGGACGCAAGTTCATCCATCTATGTGGACTGTCTATTGATCCGCCGCGGATGCGCTCTTAGGCGACAGACACTGTGCGTCCGCGCGCGTGTGTATTTGCTCGCATATGCGCGTGAATACGTTTGCTGTCTCTATGGCCTGGATGTGTGATTGCGTTGTATCCAGGGTTGGGTAATCGATAATCTGGCCGCACACGCCCATACACGCATCTACGAGAGATGAGTGACACTATTTTTTCGGTTTTCACAGTGTGCGTGATATATACATTGCACTAAACGACCTTGAGAATTCAACGCGAATGTGTCGTAATCGTCAAAAGAGGTGTCACTAAGATCGAACGAAGAGCCCTGCAAACAATATACTGAAAGTCAAATTACTTCGGGTGGTTTCTTTTGACTCCGGGGAAGCCGACCTGCTCTACGTGCTGCGCAACTTCTCTGGCTGGTAACTAGGACAGGCCTTGACACGTCAATATTTGTATATCTCATCCGTGTCACTACTTAGTTCTTCATACGTGTCTGGTCCATCGATTGTCCAGGAACCTGCAATCAACTACTTGGTTGCAGAACAGCTATCAGGATTTACATAACCAATGCTGACAGCTGTTGGGCGTGTTGATTAAGCTCCAGCACCTCCCACGGCATGTATAGACTTTATTTCGATTACTAACCGATTACTGTCATTTTTCAGTCGCAGAAAGCTAGCGATAAGGTGGAAATAAACGAACCCATTAATCATTTTTCAGTAACCTTTTTATTGTTACATCGCTTTGTTTACAGCCATATACTGGTTAAACCTGCAGTCATTCGTTTGAAGGCGATCCAATAACCAACACATGATTTCGAAGCATCACTGTTTGAGACTGTTCTTAGATGCATTTTCATCAAGAGACTTCTGAGTGTAGAGATGGATGTGAAGAGAATGGGTCTTATCTCACTGCCGCTTGTACATCTCAGTGATCCATTGATCTGTACTTGAGGATACCGATGTAGCATCCAAGAAGGCATTCGAACCCGGATAGTAGTTTCATTTACGAGTATACGATGAACCTTGTGGTTAACTTGTTACGGCAGTGAAGCATCGGTGTTGAACACTGATGTCATGCTGTCGATGATGATGATGATGATGTGGTTAACTTGTACCGAGATACTCGTATGCTAATTCTATTCTGCAAGTTGATTTCCCGCTCCAAAGAGACCTATTGTCAGCCGCAAAGATGATGTAGGGTGTCCTCACTGTGGGCTTTGTTCTGGAATCCATTTTCGGGACCTAGTATTCGTTTTTTCAACGCCCAATGTGGTTGATTACCTGATAGCGAAATACCAAGGGGGCATTGCTATTCTTACAGTTTTCTTTATGAGCGATTTCTTCCTGTACACACAAACCTTGTACATAGCTGTACACTTTGAGTCCAAGAATCTAGTGCTGGTTTGAACTGCCATCACTGATGAACGAACGGGATATACTGTTTAAAACGAGGTAGTTGATATCTTCTATGAATTCTGTGGAAAAGTTTTCTCCCTCGGATTCGACAAAACAGCCGTCGGGTATCCCTTGGTGACCAACGGACAATTTGGCGGCCATGCATTGTATTCTTCAGGTCATTGTGGATTAAAGCAAATTTATACTTCCGGATTACCTTGATGTTGCTTATGTGTATTGCCTGGGCCTCACGGTATTCTGCTACTGTATGCAACCAATTACAAACAATTAACCCGGCGAATTATACGACGTCAAATGAAACAGTGCGCACCGATTGTGAAGCCTGGTCGACACAGATGGTTAACTTAATGGCTAAGGCAAGGGATGCCGAGAATATCTTAGGTTTATTTCGGTTCATTTCCTTGGCAGCTCCCCGAAAACAGCCAATGGGCAAAATTATCGGGGATCCAGACACGACCATCCATCATAAAGTCCGCCTTGACCGCTGGACGGCAATTCTCATGACAGTTTACTACCACCCCGTCGGGTTCCCTAATTGTACTAGAATCTCGAACGACGAATCGAGAGCATCCTACGGCCTCGGAGGAGTTAATGACTTCCGTAAAGCTCCCCAAGCTTCCGATCTGTGTGACCCCTACTCGTGTTGTTCAAGGATTGAGGTTAGGCCTTTAGTCAGCGTTTGCCTCATCTGTTTGCCCCCGTTTGGGGAAAGGGGACAACCTCATGGGAACGTCTATAATAGTGTTAGTTTAAAAAAAGGGACGCATGGGGAGTCCGGTAATCACAAAAGGACCAACTTGACTTCATTTGTAAAGAGAATCATAGCGTCACATGTCCTTCATCGTCCTCGAGGCATTGACTCGAGAACAGCAAACGAGATTTCGGTAGGGGTTGCACTTCATTTGTAAAGAGAATCATAGCGTCACATGTCCTTCATCGTCCTCGAGGCATTGACTCGAGAACAGCAAACGAGATTTCGGCCTGGTAGGGGTTGCGTCGACCATATCTTTATACGCCATCAGGCGCTAGATCAACGCCCTATGCATAACCGACCCACGATTTTGGTATTCCCAAATTCCCAAGGCGCGTTTGACTCCTCACCAAGAAATACCTCGAGAGTTTGAGTGTACGTTATTTATATTATCAGACTTGCGGAAGTGAGACTATATGTGGAACTCTTCTAGAGCTTCCTTGAAAATGTGGCATCCACTCTCTCCATTCCTGTTTAGTGTCGTGATCACCGAGTTAGTAAGGCGAGCGCTGGATTGTCTTCAAAACCGTGGTTAATACAGTCGACGTTGCTGTCGTTTTCGGAGAGGAGGGAGAGGGGAACAAAGTATTGGAGTTTTTTGGGTGAACTGACTAAAGTCATCTTGTCGTTTGACATACGCTTTGCACACATAAAATGTAAGGTCATTCTATTGGACGTAGAGTGGATGAACATGCAACCTACAATCCAAGGAGGAGAAGTGAAGTTTGTTGAATATTTTACCTACCTTGAAAGTCTTCAGTCAATTGGAGAAAGTTTTGAACCGATTGAGTAGTTATCGTTTCAGAAGAGCTTAGTAAATAATCGGTAGTTTTTATTTGGGCAACGTTTCGCTTTTGACACAAAAGCTTCATCAGGCCAAGTGAACAGGTCACCAAATTGACAAGGTTATAAGACAGACGGGGAACCAATCAGTAAGTCCTCTTCAAACTAGATCAGTGTTGAGTGTCAATTAACGGCTCTTGTCGGCTAGTGTGGGTGCCAAAATCTTGAATTGACGGATTGGAGGGGTTCCAAATTAGTTCCGATCGCTTTTCGTTCCTTAATCTTCCAATTCAGGGTGCTTCACTTGACGATTCACCTCAGGTGCCCCTGATAGATTTTCCCTGGTCCTTGTGGGGTTGTGAGTGCTTCGACAATTTAGTTTGAGGGGGGTTGAGATCAAGTGGATTTCAGATGATGACCACTCTTCCTTCTGATGACCGCACACCAACACAAGTCAGCTCGAGTGACTCAAGACCGTTCTCCAGACGCCAGCCAGTTCCACGCCTTCCATTCTGTTAACGCTGGGATGCTTGGTGATTTCTACCGCCTCGGCGATCAGTCTGTGTGACGTGGACCGTAGTCCCCGCCTCAAAACCTCAACATTTTCTAAGTCTATTTTGTGTCCCGTGTCCAGTGCGTGTTCCGCAATCGCCGAGTCTTTCACTAACGCTTGATATTCATCTGCGTTTGTCGGCGGCCTGTTTATTTTTCTACTATGCTCTCCGACTCTGATGTGTAGTTCCCTGGCCGTCTGTCCTATATAGACCTTGGTGCAGTCATTACACTTAATTTTGTAGACACGGTCCCTGGTTCTGTTTGCCGGGAGGCGATTTTTCAATTGCACCAGTGCAGAGCGCAGAGTGTTCCCCCTTTGGAAGGTTACTCTTATGTTAGCCGTGTTTAGAATTCTTCGAATTACCTCCGATGTCCCTGGTTTATATGGAATAACAGCTGTCCCGATCCATTCCTTTGTTGAATTTCGCTATCGGTACCAGCACCCTTCGCAATGGACGCTTAATCAGGCTAGCTGGATATCCACTACCCCGAAGTTTGTTCTTCACTTCAATTTGAGCCGCTGTTCGATCAGCTTCTTCTGTGCACAGGGCCCTTACACGCCTAAACGTTGATGACATTGATGACCTTGAAAGTTGTAATATTTTTGACGAGTGTAGCTGGTGAGGTCCATGTACGAATCTGGAAAGCTGGGGTCATGTTCGCTAATACACTCATCTGCATATTAATTTGGTTTCCACGGGAGACTCTCCTGCATTCCAGCTGACATTCTTCAACTGAGAGTTTGCTATGTACAGTTGTCAGGCCCTTTTTCCTGCCTTTGCTATTTTCCCTTGAATTTGCCGTTGACAAGATAATCAACTCTTCTTAACTCGTCACTGGCCTCTCTCAAATTGAACTTCTCCCTCTCTGGTCACCCGTCCGAGTATGCCAATCCCATGGGTAATGTGGGCTCAAGCTCGCCGGTAGCAACTAGTTGCCGTGGTTTGTCGTCACTCATGGGGTGTTTTTCCGTGAAATATGTTGTTCTTGTATCCATCGTTTGGCGGTCCTTCTATCGCCGCCGTCAATTAGTTTGCTGGTCCTTCTCACCTCGATCAATATGCCAGCTAATTTCGGTTCTTTCGTTCGGTACTGTGTCGAGCTTTTTTATGCAGTTATTGTTGCTGTATTTTACAACATCCCAATGCCCTTGTCAGCGGTATGTTTCTGCTTGTGTTTCTGCTTTAGAAAAGTTCTCTTGTCGGTTCGTCCTCGCCCCTTGATGTGAAAAAGGGAAAAGTCACAGTTCAGCGCCCTGGGGACCAGAAGGCATATCAATGTGGCCCGAATCCACGAAAGAGCAAAAAGACAGATTCGGTGAGTTTTTCCGGTAGTCTATCTCACGGTCAGGATAAAAGTGACTACCACTTCAGATGAACTACTTTTAATAAGCTTATTATCTCAGCGAAGGATGGTTAGGAAGGAGGATACCGTCGTGTTTGTGTTCTAGTCCCACTAATTTTAGCTAGACAATTTCGGATATGCCAAATGTCTCTCTGTATCCAGTGTGTATGTACTGTAAGTCACGAGAGATGAGAACAGTGGTGCTTGGACGTTTGTGCTCTCAGTTGCGCACAAGTAGGTTGATCCGTAATGGGAAGAACGAAATGAAATAGGGTTTCTGTCACAAACATAGAGCGTTTACATGTCCAAACACTCATGTAGCCAGAAGTGGCAACGCCCACGTATCAGAGCCACATCGAAACACGTATCCAGGCGAACGCCAAGGTAGTAATGGGACTGAATCGGGGAACCTTACGCTCTATCATTCATTTCTTCTGAGTCATATACAGCTCAGTCCTGGTCTACAGGACTAAGTTTAGAATAAAAATTCTTCCAACTAAACGCTAGCTAGACGTGCGTGGAACGTGAATGACCCGTGGCAGCATGCGTTGCAACATGCATTTCAGAGTCTAAAGATGGCTGTTTTTTGATCACCTGGTTGCTAAAGGAATTCTGCCTGGAAGGGCCTTCCCAAATTAACGTTCTGTCCTTTCCTTCTGGATGACAGTCCTTTACGACTGCACATATTTGGAAGCACACGAATCCCGGAGGCCGCTAGGATAACAAACAGAATTTTTTCCACGTGGTTGGCTACAAGCAATGTATCAAGAATTCTTTTGTTTCAGCCTCTACTGTTTCGTTCACTCGGAAACGGGTATTGAGAAGCCGGATTTGATGATCTCACATGCTCACTGAATCATGTAAAATGAGAATTTTGGCAGGTACGCAGTGAGGACCATACCTATGTTACCCGAGCTTATATATATATAT